GGAATTAAGTAAGGAATTAAGTAAGGGATTAAATAAGGGATTAAATAAGGAAATATATAAGGGATTAAATAAGAGATTAAATAAGCGATTAAATAAGAGATTAAATAAGGAATTAAATAAGGAATTAAATAAAGAAATAAATAAGGAAATAAATAAGGAAATAAATAAGGAAATAAATAAGGAAATAAATAAGGAAATAAATAAGGAAATAAATAAGGAAATAAATAAGGAAATAAATAAGAAAATAAATAAGGAAATAAATATATATATATAATTATTTCCTTATTATTAAATTTCTTTTATTACTTTAATTAAGAAATTATTAATATTAATATAAATATTAATATAATTTAATTATTATATTATATTTAAACTTATATAAAAATACTTATTATTTATTATTATTTAAATTTATATATTTTATTTTAAAACTACTTTTAATTTATTATTATTTATTAAATATTAATAATTATTTCTAAATTAAATAATAAGCTAAATCTATTTTTTTTTAATTAATTAATATTACTATTTTCCCCTTTACTTAAATTAATTTCTAATATTTCTAAATCTAATTTTGCTTTTAAATTTAAATATTTTTTAATCTTTAATAGCTTTTTTTCCTTTTTAATATTATATTTTAAAATTAATAATTCTTTCCATATAATATATTATAGGTTAATACGCTTATTAATAATAATATTTATTCCACTATTAAAATTCCCTTTAATTGCAATAAATATAGCTGAAATATTTAAATATTTTAAAGCTAATATAAATAAATAAGGATATAAGTTTTTATTTATATCCTATTACTTTAAAATATTAATTTATTTAAATATTAATATTTATTATTTTTTTAACTTATTAAATAAAAAAGTATTATATTTACTTTAAAAGGTTAAATATTTTCTTTAAAATATTTATTTATTTCTTATTTTAAATTATCTTCTTTTTCTATATTTTTAAATATATTTATAAGAAAAAAAAAGCTTAAAATATTCTTTTCTTTTATCTTTTTTTCTTTTCTTTTCTTAAGTAAAGAATTTAATATATTTAAATCAATATATATATTAATTTATTGCTTTTCCTATATAAATATTTCTAATAATTTAACTTATTTTCCTTTTTCTTTATTATCTTTTTTCTTATTATATAAACTATTAATAATATTAATAAATTATTAAACTTTTAAAAAAATTTAAAATATATACTCTTATAATCTTTTTAATAATAAGTCTTTTATATAATATATTAATTATTAATTTAAGTTTAAAGTTCTTTATATATTTAAACTATTATTCCTAGGGTTTAATAATATTAAAAAAATATATATTTTATATTTTTTAATTTCATTATAATTCCATATAAAATTTATTAAAAAATAAATATTTAATTTTATTAAACCAGCTATAATAACTAAATTAAAAAATAATATATAAGGATATAATAAAACCTATAAATAAGTATTAATATAATTAAAAATAAAAAGATAATTAATAAAACTTACCTTACCTTCCTTTCCTTTATCTTCCTTATTAATATATAATTATTTTAAATTTAATAATACCTTATATATTTATTTAATTAAGGGTAAAACTAAACTTAAGGTAAGGTATTTTCTTCCTTATAAAATAATTATTAATATATAAAAAGATAATAAAATATCCCTTAAATCTTTTATTTATTTCTATTCTTTTTCTTATATAATTAATTCTTTTAAAATTCCATAATTAAAGTTTTTAATAAGTTAATTAATAAACTCTTTAAAATTTAAAGTTATATTTATCATTTTATATAAAAAATTCCAATAAGTATTAATATTTATTTTTAAATTAATTAATTAAAATTAAAATTAAAATATAATATATATTTAAATTTTAAATACCTAATGAAATTAATACTTTATTTTTATTAATAAGTAATTTATTTACTAATTTATATTCTTTTAAAATTTCTAGCCATCATTTCTTTATTTATTAATTTCTTTTAATAATAATAGCTATATAACTTACTTTATTTAATAGCTTTAAATATAATTAACTAAAAAGATTAAAAATATATTAATAATAATAATTATAAAATACCTAATAATTTATTAAATATTCTATCCTTTTCTTATTTAAAAAGGTATTCCCACTTATTTAAAGTCTTTATAAAAATACTTAATAATTTAATTTATTATAATTTAATATTATTTATTATAATTTTATTAAAAGAATTAATAATAGCTTTAGCATATAAATTTAATATATATGCTAAGCATTATATATTATTTTTAAAATTTAGTTTAAATTTAATAAAGTAATTAATATTAAATTCTTTAAAAAATATATTATTATTTAAGCCATTATCCCTTATAATACTATAAATTAAATAATTAATATTATAAAAACAATTATTAAATATAAATCATTTAAATATATTTACCTATTAATAAAGTTTAAAAGAATTTTAAAAGGAATTAAAATATTTTATTTAAATATTTCATATATATATACACTACTATATGCTTCTTTTAAAAATTTAAATCCTATAATTTTATTAATATTTATATATAATTATATTAAGATAATTTTAAAACTACTTACTAATTAATTAATAATCATATTTAAAATCTTTATTTATAAAATTTATAATAATACTTAAATATTTATTAAAGTTAATAAAGGTTTAAATATTTAATTATATAAAAATTCCTTTATTATTTTCAATTTATTTTTTAATTATTCCTTTAATATTTTAAATAACATTATCATATAAAACCCATAAATAAGCTTATAATTTTTTATAATAAAGTTTAAGAATATTACTAAAAGAAAATTAATAAATATATTATTAAAATAAATTAATATAATAAAAACTTATTTATTTAAATATTAAGTTAATTTATTAAACAAATTAAAAAATAAAATATTAAATAATAAATTATTTATTAATAAAAAATTTATAACTTTTTCAAGGTAAACTTTATTATTAATAAATATAGAATTAATAAAATATTATCTTTTTTTTTATTTTTAATAAATAATTTTAAAATAAATAATTATATACTTTTTTTAAGAAGTTATATTAAATAAATATATTATTTTATTATATTTACTTCTTAAAGAAATATTTAAATTAATATAAATAAATTTAATTTATTAATTAAAATACTTACTTTTTATTAAGGTTTTATTTATTTCTTTATTATAAGCTATTCCTATATAGTATTTCTTATAATATTAAAAGCTAAAAGAGTTAATTTATAGCCTAATTGCTTTAAATATACATATCTACTTATAATTAAGTATAATATATTTAAATAAAACTTTTCTTAATTCTAAATAATTAATAAATAATAATTCATAAGTAAATAACCTTTCTTTTATTAAATAAGATTTAGGGGGTTTAAATTTAAATATTACTTTATTTCCCCTTTCATTAATATATACTTTATCTTTCTTTTTAAGTTTTTTAAATATATCTTCATTATTTTAAGAATTAATGCTATTATTAGCACTATTTTCATAATTTTCATCATTTAAATCAAATTCCTTAGCATAGCATATATTAAAAGATATAAAAGATCCAGCAATAAAAAATAAAAAAGAATCCATTTTTTTAATATTTTAAAGTATTTTATATATTTTTTAAATATTTTATAAACTTATTAAAGTTTTAATTCTTATTTTAAATAAGAATTAATAATAAAAGTATATTATATAATAATTAATAGTATTATAATAAGTAAATTGCTTTTTTAATATAAAGAAAAAAAGTAAAAAAAAGGGAAAATAAAAAAAAGGAATATATTTATATTAAATTATTACTTATTCTATTAGCTATTCTATTAATTATTTTATTAGCTATTTTATTAGTTATTCTATTAATTATTTTATTAGTTATTTTATTAATTATTCTATTACTTATTTTATTACTTATTTTATTACTTATTTTATTAATTATTTTATTAGTTATTTTATTAATTATTCCATTAATTATTTTATTACTTATTTTATTAATTATTCTATTAGTTATTCTATTAATTATTTTATTAGCTATTTTATTAATTATTTTATTAATTATTTCATTAGTTATTCTATTAATTATTCTATTAATTATTCTATTACTTATTTTATTACTTATTTTATTAATTATTTTATTAATTATTTTATTAATTATTTTATTAATTATTTTATTAATTATTTTATTAATTATTTTATTAGTTATTCCATTAATTATTCTATTACCTATTTTATTAGTTATTTTATTAGTTATTTTATTAGTTATTTTATTAGCTATTCTATTAATTATTTTATTACTTATTCTATTACTTATTCTATTACTTATTTTATTACTTATTCTATTAGTTATTTTATTAGTTATTTTATTAGTTATTTTATTAATTATTTCATTAGTTATTCTATTACCTATTTTATTAGTTATTTTATTAATTATTTTATTAGTTATTCTATTAGCTATTCTATTAATTATTTTATTACTTATTCTATTACTTATTTTATTAGTTATTTTATTAGCTATTCTATTAATTATTCTATTACTTATTTTATTAATTATTTTATTAGTTATTTTATTAGTTATTTTATTAGTTATTCTATTAATTATTTTATTAGTTATTTTATTACCTATTTTATTAGTTATTTTATTAATTATTTTATTAATTATTTTATTACTTATTTTATTAATTATTTTATTAATTATTTTATTACTTATTTTATTAATTATTTTATTACTTATTTTATTACTTATTTTATTACTTATTTTATTACTTATTTTATTACTTATTTTATTACTTATTTTATTACTTATTTTATTATTTATTTTATTAATTATTATATTAATAATTCTTTCTTTTCTTTCTTATATATATATAAAATCTCTTATATATATATAAAATTTCTTATATATATTATATATATATATTAATTTACTTATTCTTATTATATATACTCCTTACTTTTATAGAATTTCATAAATAAGGAAATGGGGTATATAAAGGTATTATAGTTTAGTGGTTAGAATTCTAATAATTTAAGATTAAAGACCTGGGTTTAATTCTTAGTGGTACCCTTGTAACCCATCTCCCTATTTGCTTTTTATTTTTTTTAAAAAAAATTAAATAAATAATTAAATAAGTAATTAAATAAAGAATTAAATAAGTTATATTTATATAAATTAAAAGAATTAAAAGAATTAAAAGAATTAAAAGAATTAAAAGAATTAAAAGAATTAAAAGAATTAAAAGAATTAAAAGAATTAAAAGAATTAAAAGAATTAAAAGAATTAAAAGAATTAAAAGAATTAAAAGAATTAAAAGAATTAAAAGAATTAAAAGAATTAAAAGAATTAATTTTTCTTTTTATATATATATTCTTTTATATTTATATCTATATTTTATATCTAAATATAAATATAGATATAAAAAAATACAAAATATAAATATAAATATAAGCTATATATAAATATAAATATAAATATAAATAAAAAAAAAATACAAATATAGATATAAATATAGATACAGTATTTTATATTTTTAAAGATACAAATACAAGATATAAAAATATAGTTACAACTTTAAGCATAATAAAGGATAAAGAATTATTTAAAAAATAAAGTTTATTTTATTTATATAAACTAAATTTATATTACTTAATAAAAATTAAAGGGTAGCTATAAATAAAAATATATATAATTAAAATAAATAAAGTATATATTATTATATAATAATTAATAATTAATATAAAATAATATAAAAATCTTAAAAATATTATTTAATGTAAACTCTTTTAAAATACTTATTAAATAATAATAAGTTATAATTATATATAAAGAAATAATATAAAGAAGTATTATTTTAATAGCTAAATAATAATAATTTATTAATCTTAAATTTTAAGATAAAAAAGAAATTAATTTTATAATATTATTATTGCTTATATAACTTATAATATACTTTATATAAGTAATTATTAAAATAATTTAACTTTAACTTTAAAATAATATATTATTAATATTATTAGCTGTTGGTTGGGTTAACGTACGTTGGTTGATAGCAGACTGGGTGCATTTGAATTGGCTATGGTGTGGAGGGTAGGTTGCAGCAAAGCTGCAGCCTTCCCCCGTCTGGCTATAGGCTAGCTATGGTGGTCCGTGCGTAGGGCACGTGACCGCTAGCTGGCAGCCGGCTGGCACGGGCTGGCAGCTGCTATTGATAAGACTAGTCTAGACCTTGCACCTCCAAATCTGTGCATTGCCTGCAGCGCACCCACTGCGTGGGCACGCTACGCCCATATGCATTATTCTTATATTAGCATTAAATTTTAATAAATAAATTATATATTAAGTAAAGTAAAGTTTATATTTTTTTAATAATAAATTATTAAATATAGCTAAGGTTAAAGAGATATTAATTAAAAAAATAAAAGTTAATAAATAAATACTCTTAATTTTAAAGCATATATAAATAATACTTATATAACCTACCCTTTAATAATTATAATAATAATCTTTAAATTCTTATATATAAAAAGGATAATAAAATATATAATAATCTTAAGTATAAATAGCTAATTTTATTCCTATATAATAAATATTATTAAGAATAAAATATATATAAAAAATAAATAGCTTTTTATAATAGCTAAATATTACGCTTATAATATATTTAATTTATATAAATAATGCTTTATATAACTTACCTTTAATATAAATAATTTATAATAAGCTAATTAATTTATAATTAATTTTAAGCTATTAAAAAAAATAAAAATAAAATTTAAAACTATATAAAGAAATTATATAACTTACTTTATAATAAGATATAAATATGTATTAGCTATTATTAAAGGCTAAAGATTATAAAAAATTAATATTATGCTATATTCTTAAATATTTTCTTAAATTATATAAAAAACTTTTACTTATATTATATTAACTTAAATAAGTATTAAAAGAAATTATATAACTTATTAAATATATATTTTAATATTAATATTAATTATAGCTAATATTAAGTAAATTAAATAATAATCTTATATATATAAATTAAAAAAGAGAATTTAAATAAAATGCTGCTAAAAACCTTAGAAATACTTTTAAATAAGTTATAGCTTATATAATATATATTAAAGAAAGGATATTAAGGAAAGATTATTCTTTATATAATTATTTCCTAAGCTTATTAAGCTATATTAAAGTTAAAATATACTTTAATAAATTAAAAATTAATTTATAAGGTATTATTTATAAATCTTTAAGTAATAATTTAAATTATTATAAAAAGGAATTTAACTTATTAATTCCTTATATATAATAAAGTAAATATTAACTTTATAAATAAGTAATATATATTAAATTTAAATAACTATTAAAAAGAAATATATAGCTATTTTAAGTTTTATTAAACATTATATAACCATCCCCATTTTAATAAAGGGAAATCTATATAATAAGAATCTATATAATTTATATTATTTATAAGCTAAAGCTTTAAATAATTATTTAAGCTATATTATATATATAATTAACTTAAGAAATACTTTATATATAAAAAAAAGGGATATTAATTAATAAATTACTTTAAAAAAGAAAAAAGTAATATAAAATATTAATACTTATAAATATATAAAAACCTTTATTAAAAACCTATTTAAGATAAAAAAGGCTTTTATTTCTTTATATTAAAATATAAAGAAAAAAAGCTAAAATATATTTATATAAAAAATAAACATAAGATTTATAATTATTAAATAATAAAAACATTTCATAATAAAATCTTATTAACTTTATATTTACTTATTATATAATAAAAAAGGATATATTCTTTACCTTAAGAATAATTTTAATAAAAAGCTTTATATTACATAATTTATATAATATAATATATTAAGGAAAGCTTTAAAATATAAAAGTAATAAAAATATTTATAATTAAAAAGCCTTAAGTTATAATATATATTTATAAAAATCCTTATATAAATATATTATAAGAAAACAATATAATAAAAGTTAAGTTTAAGTTAAATAAAGTAATTTCCTTAATAAAAATAATAAAAATGCTTAATTAATTTAAAGAAATTACTTATTATATTTTAAAAATATTAATATTATTCCTCTTTTTATTATATAATGCTAATAAACTTAAAGTATATTTTAATAATATAATAAATATAATTATATAAAGTAAAATAAAAATCCTTATTATATAAAAATAAGGATATGCATTTTTTAACTTAAGTTATATAAAAAATAAAATCTTTTTTATAAAATTAAAGCTTAAAAGATTATATAAATACTTTAGCTATCTTTAAATAAAGAAATTTTATAAGCTTCTTAAAAATATTAAGCATAATAATTTAAAAAAAATTAATTTTAAAAAAGATTTAAAGATTTTATTATTATTATTAATTATATAACTTTACCTTAAGGAAATTTAAATTCTTAATTAAGAATAATAATTACTTTAATTATAAAGTAATAATTAATATTATATAATTAAGTAAAAAAAATGCCTTATATATAATTAACTTAAATACTAGCTTTTAAGCAGCTATATTTTTAACCTTTTTATTTATAAAAAATACTTAAAATATATTATATAAATATTAAATTTATATATATATTAATCCCTTAAATTATATTATATATAATTTAAGTATAAACTTTATATTTAAGAAATTTAAAAATAATATAAGGATTATAAGCATTTTATATAAAGCAATGCTTATTAAAGCTTATTAAGTTATTAATAAGGTTAAATAATTATATAAATCCTTAAGGAAAATATATAATATTCTTAAAGTTAAAATTAAATATTATATAAATAATAAAACCATTCTTTAAATAATTATTAAGGTCTTAAATAATATAGCTAAGCTAAATAATTTTATACCTATCCTTTTAATATTTAATATATACCTTTAAGTTTTATATAACTTATTATTATTATTAAAAATTATATAAAAAGCATTAATAATTTAAAAAATAATAAAGATACTTTATATAATTAAAGTTAAAATAAAAGTTAATTATATATTAAATATAAGAAATAAGCTAAATATTAAGGCTATATTATCCTTATCTTTTTAAAGTAAAGTTTTTATATAAAAAGAAAATAAAAAATAGAAAGAGTTATATAAGATTAAGGCTATTAAGAATTATATAATAATAATTAAGATAATAAATAAATTAACTTAATTTAAGGTAACTTATATTAAATCATACCTTTATATAATAAATTTAATATTATATAATAATTTAAATACTTTTATACTTAAAGTTATATAATAATAAAAATTGCTTAAGAAATAAGATAAATTAAGAAAAGTTATTATATAAGCATTACTTAAAAGATATAAATAATTAAAAAAGGCAGCTATATAATATATTTCCCTTGTTATTATTTAGTATAATATAAGTATTTTTTTAATATAAAAGGAAAAGAATATATATAACTTAATAATTAAGTTAAGAAAAAATAATATAATTATAATTTTTAAAAGATTATTTAAGGAATTTAATGCCTTTAAACTTAATATATTTATAGCTAAGGAAGTATTTAAATATGCATTATATAATAAAAATCTCCATAAGTACCTTTATATCTTTAAAATAAAAATAATATAAAAGGTAAAGAATAAATTAATAAAGTTAATTAAAAAATTTAAGATAATAATTTAAGGTTTTAATAATAAGGAAAAGCATATAATATTAATATAAGCTTTAATAATTTAAAGAATAAGCTAATAAATCTTATTTATATTAAAATTAATACTTATTTATTATTTTAAATATTATATAAAATTATAAAATATTACTTAAGCTTATACTTAAGTAAAAAATAAGCTTACTTATATAATTATTATATACTTATTATTAAAGCTTAAAAATAAGTTTCCTTTAAGTATAATTTTAATTATTTATAAGCTATTATATAAATTTATAAAATTAAGATTATATTAATATAAAATATATTATATATATTATATAAAAGCATTAAAGATAAAGGTATTAATATATAATTTATACCTTTTATATATAATAAATAAATTATATAATTTTAAGATTATAAAA